CCTGCAGCTCAGTCTGAAAATTTTAGTGGTACATTGGTTCTAGTTAATTTAGATTGTTTTTCATGCCATTGCCTACAAGCATACCATATGTAGACAAAAGGGAAAAAAAAACCAAAAAAACAAAACCAATAAAGCCCTCAAAGCTGATCACATATATCTGAAATAACAGTCTGTGAAAGTGGTAGTCTAAAGAAAGTGAGTTCTTATCAGGGTCTTATGGCTCTAAGCCATACTGTAATGGCATTATCTGCCTAGAGCTAGAAATCTTTTGGCAATTTCCAGCCTCTTTGGAACTGTCAGTCTGATATGTGTGACAAGGTAATTTGCATAATTTTGCAGTGTTGTTGCATACCACTTGTTTAAAGCAAAAAGAGGGGGTTCGTGTTCCATAACCTATTTTTTCTCTGGGAAGGAAAGCAGCCAACTCAACAAGCAGCCCCCATATACGATGAATGTGGGAGTGCAATGGCGGCCTTCACCCCTGCCTTATGGAGGCTTGAAACCTGTACTGTTCTAACAGTTTTGGCTTGGGGGCTGGCTCAAAATGCATATGTTGTCCACAATAAAACTTTCTATTTGTGCAGAAGTTTGAAAGAAAAACAATGTCCAGGCAAAACACAAGATATGTGAGATTTGGGGTGACTGCCTGCTCCCTTGTTTTTCTTGTGATAGTTTCCAAAAGCTTTTCAGCTGGTCAGCTGTGATCACCTCTCCAGTGAGAACAGAAGACAGAGGCTAAATCATGCAACCATACAATGCTCTCAGGAGAAGCAAAGCAGTGGGGAAGGTCATTCATATCAAGGGGTGTAAATGAGGGCAGAAAGAAAACAGTTATTATGATGAAGCACTAGAGAAATCAAACCTAGTAGAAATATTTGGTATTTGTGCTGACACTTCTCGGTTTTCCCTCAGCTTCAAAAGAAAAAAAAATCTCACAAAGAAATAGTAGCAACCTTGACAGAACAAAAGGGAAAAAATTCTTTAGCTGAAATCAATTTTACATCCAATAATTTAGACAGGGATTTTGAACAGCCCTTATTTATATCTTGCAGGTCCTGCAGAACAAACATATAATCAGTGAAATGGTTTATCTATAGTTTTCAGGTATTATAGGTGCCTTGAAGTGTTCAGTATAGTTCAACCTATATAGCAGAAACCCTTTACAAAATAATTCTATTCTGCCACATAACTCCAGCACTGGAGAATACAAGGGACTCCTTCAGAAATTTCATAGGAATGATTTCCACCGTGGGTTCACCTCCAAGTCTGTTCATCTGCAAATAATTTAAGCTTAATTTACATTACCGAAGTAGAAAATGTTTATAACACACCTTATCACTGAGAGATGTAAGTATGACACAGTGAGTTGGAAGATGTGACAACATTAGACATGCATGCAAGTATGTTTTAGATATTCATGAACAGCTATAGAGCAAGTTTAATTTAGAACCTATAGTGCTTTCTTTTACCAGATCCCAGAGGAGTGCTTGGAATGAAGTTGGCAGGAAGTAGAAAGAGACCTTTTTTCAAGAAAACATAGGTATAAAACAAAAATAGTCAGGTAAAGGGATTCTTTAGATGGTCAGAATATCTTTGAAAATTCCTCATGCTGGATTTACTGTGGTGTATTTCTGGGTGATTTCATTTGAAAAAGAAGTGTAGGAAATTAGATTTTGGCTGCATTGATAGTGTTCATGGGAGTACTAATTTCCTCCTTTTTTGTTACATTCTAGACTACAGATATCCACATAGTAGAAGAAATTCAGCAGTCGTCATATACTTATCAATGCTAGAAAAATTTCCATGACCATGGTACAGCATTAAAAAAAATCAAAATTTGCCAACACTTTAGCACATTGTATGGATTGTCTTGTTTAAATATAGACAGTTCTCTGATGCCACAACTTGCTGTCAATAAGTACTGAAACTCAATAGCACAAGACTAGACCTATGCTTTTGGTATGAATAATGAGCTAAATGACTTTCTCATCTTCCTTAAAATATTGCATGAATAAACTGATCTGTTTTCATTTAAGTATTTTTTTCAAAGCCTGTGTAGGCTCTGCCCTCATTAAAACCCTAGTGCCTACAACTCCCCTTTCACAGCATCTAATTCACTTTATTTCCAGCAGAAAATTGACTTCACCCTGCACCACCACATCGTGAAAGTGACAGCCAAAACCTGCTCAGAGTCTTAAATGACACAGGCAGACTTGAATGTTGCCAGTCAAATGATGGGTGTCCATGGTGAAGCTGATTCTCATGGACGAAGGCAGAGGAGGGGCTGAGGACAGGAAATTTGGTGCTGTGCAGGAGCATGGCATGGCATGGCATGCCTTCTTCCATGTGCTTCAAAAGCCTTGATAGGCATCTCATCAGGGTCACACAGACAACAAGACACAGTCCTTATAAAGTAGGTATGCTGAGGTTGGAGGATCTGGTACTTTACAATGTAAATTCTTAGCAAGCGCTTACTTTCATGCCTTTTATCTTTTTGTAGTTTGTATGGATTTGCAGAACTCTGAAAATAATAGTAGAATATGGCAGTGCAAATATTTGCCTTAATTTTGCATCCTGCATGAAATAAGGACTCTATAACATACTCAGATTTGGAGTGTCAGCTCTTGTTTCTTTAATGAGATTTTGCTAGTTGTGGTGCATTCAAAAAAGAAAAACAAACAAAAGAGCCCCACCAACCAAAAACAGAACAAAATATTTAAATTTATATATTATTATAGAACTATAAAGACAGAGTAAATATGTTTTAAACAATTTTAGTTTAAATGTAGTTTAAATGTAAGGCAACAGATTAAATACACTGAGCACTGCTTCAATTGCAGCATCTATAATTATTCAATTATTTTACAATGTTATTCTGCATTAATTTCTTTTCTGAGCAAATATTTTTTGCAGTTTTTGGAATTAGCAAATGTAGAGTTGTCAAAGTTTGTACAACTGATTGTTGGAGTGCTAGATAGGCATTTTGAATAAAAAGCAAACCAGAAGGAGGATCAAGCTTCAGCTTCCTCAAGAATGAAGAATTTCAAGTATTTTTTCCAGTTTTATGGATGTATTAGTACTTAAATATATGTCTGCTAACTCCATTATCTACTTGTCACATAATTGCCCAGAGTAGCCAGGACATTTTATTTTTCATAAATAATAACACTTTTAATGTTTGAAAAACATAAGTAACGCTACTCAATTTTCCTTGTCTCCTTTGTTATTATGGCAATGCAATTATGTATCTCTGTTTGATAACTCCTGCCGAATAGAAAATCTGATTTTTTTTTACCAATCAATGCCTTTAAATCCGATGGTATCTTGCCTTTTTTCAGTGTTTCAGTTCCTGACCTTGCAGTCGGTGCCTTGTTGTGCCCTTATCTGAACTGTTCTCAGCATGGATTTTCTCATCTATCAGGCAGAAGCTAAACTGCTGCCTATCTGCAGGCCTCGTGGTCAGAACATGCTAAAAAAAAAAATACGTAATAAGGATACATTTAAAAGAACAAAAACTTTTTCAAACACTAATCAAATAAAAGGATTTCCCCCTGAGTTTAGGAGGAACTTTAGTTCTTCAGATGTTCCCTTGCTTGCCTCTGTCTCCCTTACCTGAGCTTCTCTTTCCTCTCTCCTAAAGAACTGGTCTCTTCCCTTTTCCCTTCTGAAGCAAAGATGTGCACTGTACATCTTCTGGCATCCCTTCAGCTCCTGCATGCCTGCTGGAATTGCATGAAGATCTAGGCAGTTGGGTTGGGATTAAATGCCTATTCTGGTTCTCCTGGATGGCAATTATCCTCAGGAAATTCTTTCAGCCTTTTCTTTTTGTTTTGGAAATGGATAGCTATTAATTTAAAATAATTGTGTGAATCAGGCAGCCTGTTGTAGTCTGTGGAGCTGAGAATTTAGAGTCAAATTATCCATGAAAATAGCTCTCAGTAGACCTACATTAGGAGGCAATATGTCTTTTGGTTTTCAGGTAATACATTATTTCTGTGAACTTTATAATTAAAGTGTACGCAAACTTGTTACTAAATCACTGTATTGACTAGGTTGCTGTACAAATACTAATGACTCCATCTCTCTTATTTCTTGTAAAAGAGCACTAATGTCTTTTTTTATTGCCATAAGACAAAGGCTCCATGAAACAGTATTATGGTTATAGACTGCAACTTAATATATTTGAGTGTACCTTGAGATAATATGTACTCTTTTACTTAATATCCATCTGACTTCTAGCATAAATTGTGTTCTCTGTACTTGTTGTTTGGGGGGCATGTTAAAGGAAAGCATTAGACAAATGGTTGAAGTGACAGTCATGGATTTATGAGAAATTTGGCATGGCAGGATGTGAAGACTTGTCTGAAAACTTAATGCTGACTCTCTGTGGGCAGTTCTCTCTTTTTGCCCCCACTAGAGTTTGATCTTTCATTTTCAGGAAATGTGTTGTTGTTTTTTTTTTTTTTTAATCTGTAATTAATCAGGTAACAGAATGTAATTGAAATACTAATTACATTTGCTTATTCAGGTACCAATATTTCTGCTACAGTGTGAGTTGCTTAAGTACCTTTGTGACAGTGGATTTCAAATCCATATTAATCCAATTATCCAGAATATGCCCCAAAATAATTTAGTATCTGCATTCTCCTAAGCCAAATGAAATTACCATTGAAGTTAGTAAGACTTATGAGGAGAAATGTGTAATGTAGACACAATTGGAAATTACAGCTAATTGTATCTGGGTTTGTCATTTTTCTTTTTTCAGATTTTTAGAATGCAAGCTTTGATTTTGTGTCTTTTCTTTTATTTAAATTCTTCCTTTCCATTGCTTGGGACATTCATATTTGATTAAAATGTTCTAGGATAATGCACCATGTTGAAATGTATGGCAGCAAACCAACTTGAGCTTGATGGCATCATATCCTGTATGATAGTTTCTGTGAAGATGATTGCTGACATATTCCTGAGTCTGTTACTTACCATGCGCCATTTTTCTGTAGGCCTACAAGATGTTCCTGGTGCTATCATGCTTGGGACTGACGCAAGGTCTGGAAGTGTAGAACTTGGAAGAAGGAAGGAGACTTGGAATGTGCCACTAAATTTTCAGTTTGGACACAAAGTGAAAGATATTTCCTGCATAAACTAATTGAATGTGGAAACCTATGGAACCATGAAACCTTTTTTCCTTCCAAATGCATCCTTTGGTGGAAAGGAGTACTATGTACAAATGTCCCCTTCTGGAACAGGCCTGGCATGGCATTGCCACACATGCAGTAGCTCTGCCAAACCTGCTACACTTACACAGTTCCCCTCTGTGCTGGCATGAATAAAAATAGGTGATGAAGAATCCTTAGGTATGCTCACAACTGAAAGAAAATTAAACTGTATCACTAAAAGAAGTTCTCTTGCCCATTAGTCCAAGGTAGCTTTTTTTCCCACCAATCCATTTCTGAGATACTCATTTCTGGACTTACCACACAGCATCTGCCTTGAGCTATAGCTGTTTTAGGATTATGGAGCTGCAACTCACATGCTGACTGTGCAAAACAGAAAATCATAGGAGGTAAATAATCAAAGTGAGAGTCTCTCAGTCCAATGTACTTCTAGACTAAACATAATGCTTTTATTTATTGAGTCCATTGCTTGGATTATTTTCCTTGTCATAATGGAATGGAGCAATTTAGAAGTCTCACAAACTCTCAATTCAACCTGCCCTTGCTTTTACAAAGATGAGAATGAAGTCTTTCTTTTGCTCTGTTGAATCTTTAGAACTAAGGTTATTTTTAACACAGAGAAGGAACAAAACCTTAGATGGGCACTAAGAAGAAATGAGTTTTGGTCAACACAGTGCACATAGTAATGCATTAATTATATAGTTCCACTATAATAAACCATTCTCCCCCTGGCAAGTTGTTCTTACTGATAATAATTAGTGATGGTAATTTGAAATTATAATCTAACATGCCATACCTCACAGGATATCAAATTACTCTTCTGAATAATTGCTGAAATACCAAATCTCCTTGCTGGTTAAGTAAAGTGTGCCTTTCTTTTGCCTCTTTCTCAGGAAAAAAAAATTTAGAGAAAAAATTTCTTTTGCATTAGAAATAATTGTAATTTCCAAAGACCCAGCATCTCTTAACAGTAAGGCTGAAAGATTGAGGACTTTCAGATGCAGAAAAGATTTCTTAGTGCATGGCTCATGTATTGATAAATGCTCCTTAACATTTTTATTTTGTTCTGCATACAGTACTTCTTTGTCAGTTCTCTATTACCATGAAATTTCATGCTTGTTCAACACATGCTTTATTCCTTTGCTCTGCTAAGATATTGACCAGTAGTACCAAGCAACGAGATACTTTTCATCTTTCCTTAAAGCAGGCTGCGCTTCTGATGAAAAGAAACCAGCAGTGACCTATAATTGTACTTGTAACCAACACAGAGTGTTTAGAAGAGAGACTGTTTATTATTTTAATGATTTTTGTATTTAATCAGGGCTCCTGGACTTTATGTTGCAGTGAGGTCTTTTGACTTTGAAATATGTTTATTCCCAGCAGACTAAAACATCTTGTGGGTAAGTTTGATTGATAGTGCTATTGTTTAGACTGTTGAACTGGTTTCAACCTAATTAATTTTAATTATTGTGCTGATGCTTTTCTCTCTTCTGGGTATTATATTAAAGTATGTGATGACCATACAATCCTTTTTAGTTTTGAGTTACAGTCTTGGAAGTCAGTTTTATGAAAACCATTAGTAAATTTCATTAGTAAATATTCAGTAAGCAGTGATGGTTTGGGTTATAGAAGCTGTCCCTCTAAAAAACTATTTCATGATTATTCTTACCAATTTTTTGAAAAATTAATTTACAGCTAAAATGATACATTACAGTTTTATTTGTGTGAAACTGAAAAGAAATCAAATCTTGAGGGAAGTGGAGATTGTTGTATTAAGCTTAGTTTTATAGCCACTGGCTGAGTGACTCAACATCTTTTCCAGGTAGATGACTAATAGGAAATCCTATTTTACCCAGCAGTATCAGTAACAGCCCTCTTTGTTTTGGCAAATGGGAGGTCAGATTCACAGATCCTTTTGAAGCATTAGAAAGGGTAAAACTGACCTCACAGGGATGTCTGTTTGCAATTTTAATCTTACAGAATGTCTCATTTATGTTGATGATCATTGCTTTTGCTTTTTTCTGAACCTTGACATTTTCATTGTTTCCCTGTTTTTAAAAATTAGATGTTTGATGCTGCTACAGATGATCTAATACAGCAACTGAATATCTTGTTATAATTCAAAATACCTTGATAAATGTCAAGTATATAAAAGGAAATGAAATAAAAAGTAAGAAAGCCAAAGGAAAAAGTAACAGCTGACCCCTGGTACAAATGTGTGAGCAATTTTCTAAAGATTTTGTAAGCAAGCTATCTTTAAAAAAGTACTTAAAGTCAAAAATTTATGCAAATATTTCAACTCTCTGACATAAGTTAATAAACACCCTTTAATGTTGCGAGAGGCTAGAGAAAATTATTACTGATTCAAAACAACTGAAGCTGGATGGGGCAGGGCAGTTTCTTCCAAGGTGGAATGGTGCTCTGCTCCACATGGAGCCTCTAGGCCGGCCCAGGATGTCTGTCAGTCACTGGCACAGCTGAAGAAATGCCCCACACGCTGCCCCTGAATCCCAAACGGAGCACCAGAGTGGATGGATTATCAGAAGCCCCAGCTAGGCTGGGTGTGGGGAGAAACAGGAGCAGATGAACATCACAGCCCTGACAAACATCATTGCCATGACCGCATGTGGTCACATCCCTATTGTCCTTGGATTTTAGGGAAGCTGAGCCCATGCTGGATCCAGGGTGGTAGCTATATCTTTCTTTTCTCTCTCTTTTTCTCTTCTCTTTCTCTCCCCTTCTTTTTCCTAATTTCCTCTTCCTGAAATTTGAGTAATTTGAGGTGGATGGATAGTGTTTTCTAATTCAATGCCTCTTGAAATACTTTATTTTGAATGAATGCTGCTTTAAATTTTGCTAAGTTCCTGATCTTCTAAAATTTGCCAGTAAAATTTAGTTTTAACCTTCTGGGAACTTTTTTTGTGTTCTCATTTGCACCACCTCGGGGAAAAGTAGTACATTAAACCCCTTTTAGCAAGACTTGTTAAGTGAGGACAGGGACTTTACAAATGTTTTGGATAAATAGCAAAATAACTTCCCTGAAGGAGAAAACATACATCTCTGTGACACTAGCAGGACCATCTGTAGACCCACCCATCTTAACAACAATTTTGGTTTGCATCAACGTCGTTCTTGCTTTCTACTCAGGGTTCATATCACACAACAGGCACTATTGAGATAGAATATTTGGTCTAGAAATGCATTTGGACTGTCTCTTATGAACAGGCATATTCAGTCTGTTTTGGATGCTTTTGCAGTCTATTATTTTCAGCTCTATTGAGGCACAGTGGAAAACAAATATCCTCAGGGGCTCAGTGCCACCCCAGTTTGATGGTCCTGATTTAATGAGTGCTTCTGATGAGGGACAGTCATTGGAGAACTGTGTGTAGAGAACATATTAATGGCTGTTGTTACTTTGCAGAAGTTCTTTTCCCTCTTCTCACCGAAAAGCTGCTGTTGTGCCCAGTTGTATTGGATGTCACACAGCTGGTTAAAGGGCAAAGGACAATTCTCTGACATCCATCTTTTATATTTCAACTATCTAAGTATAATTTTGTCTTTCAGGATAATCTGAAGTTCAGCTGTATTAATTCACACGTATGGAGGTGCTACTACACATAATGAGATGTGGGCAAACTTCTAATGAGCTAATGAGTAGGAGCAAGATTAGTATCACCTTTCAAAGTGGACACAAAGGTTATAAGAACAGGTTATAAATATAAGGATTATGATCCTAAATATTCTTTCAATCTTCAGTAATGTGCATCTGAGGGTCTGCCTGGGCTAGAAACTGCTTTTGAACATCCTCACCAGATTTGCCTTCCACAAGTTTGTCTGGTTTCCAACTGAACCATGTAAAGCTGTAATGTTCACCACCTTCTGCAGCAAGGACATCCACAGTTTACTTGCCTGCTATGTGAAGAATCTCCTGTTTTCTTTGAACTGCATGTATGCTTGCTTCTTTGGGTGCTTCTAACTCATGTCTTCAAAGAGCCTCTGATGAAATACTGTCTCTTTGCCCTTGCCATGTGACTCATCATTTTGTAGGTGTCATATTACGTGCCCCTTGTAGTCCCTCACTCCCGAGTATGGTTATTCATTCATTCCATGGAGATTGACCTGTGGCCTTTGCCATGCTGACTGCTCTTCACAGCTTTCGTACTTACTTTTTAGTAAGTACTTCTTTGAGATAGGTTCAACAGGATTCTTTCTCACAATATCCACACTTTGGATCCACATAATTCCTATTCCACATAATAGGAATCAGAAAGGTAAAAGTGAGATCTCATGGATTGACATAAAGACAATTCAATAATTGAAACATAAAACATAGTCATAAATTGTAATGGAGAGAAAAGAGACAGAAATCAAACCAGAAGGAAGGCAAATTGTTTAAAAACAATTGCTCACAACTAAATGAACAATGCCTAGACAGTCCCCCAGCTGCAGCCCCTGTGGACAGAGACTTCTTCCATCTGTATATGCTGAGCATGATGCCAATGTTATGGGATATTCTTTAGGTTGATGACTTGAGAGGTTGACCTATAGCAGAGGCCAGACAGAGTTAAAGAAGGTATTTATTAAAATTCCTTCAAAGGATACACTTTGGGCAGTACAAGAGCCTGGCCAGGGCTCTGCCTAAAATGGACCCAATATGGTCACAAAATGGACTCCTGGTCACGAATTTTCACCCTTTTATGAGTTTTGGTCCAATTGCATATTGGGGTTAATTGTTCAATTACAGCTTCAGGTTATGAAATCCCATCCTCCTGGTTGGTTCAATTTGCCATTGTTTACGCTTTTTGGGACTGAGGCTATAATGGTTGTCCTTGGTTTTCAAGCTGGAAAAGGATTGTTTTCTCTTTTCTCTTTGTGAAGAGAACTTACTAACACTTCATATTAAGTTCAGAGTCACACACTAAGGCAGTACAAAATTTGAAAAATATGAAAGCTAAACCTTAAGGCATCAAGGTCAGTTGACATCAGCTGTCCTGTCTGTGTCCTCTCCCAGTTCCATGTACGCTCCCAGCCTCCTCTCCTGCTGGGATGGGGAGAGAAGCAGAACAGATCTTGACTCTGAGTAAATTCTTCTCAGCAGTAATGAAAATATCCCTGTGTTACCAACACTTCCCAGCACAAAACCAGAAAATAGCCCCATCCCAGCTACTGTGAAGAGAATTAATCTATTCATATGAAACAAAACCATCACAAAAGGGTTGTGGGGAATAAGAACCACAATTTCAACTAGTTGGACAGAAATCAGGAAAACATTTTTAGAATTGGGCAATTTTAATCTACAAAGAGTCAAGGAGCATAAGATACCTTACAGAAGTAAATCTGAAGCATATCTCCAGAGAACAGACCAAAATAAACTAATTCCTTCAATGGA